TCCATCAAATGGGAACAGCAGCAATCTAACGCCCAGAATAAAATGGAGGAAGCAGTGTTGGGACTGTAGAAAGAAAGGCTCGGATCTTGTCTAGGAATAGGGATGGGTGGATCTGCCCAGGAAGGGGCAGTTACCTCAACGAGGTTAGTTGGAATTAAGCACTTTGAAAGAGGCGGATGCGCCTCAGCTCAGATAGTCCAATACGGCCGCCAAGACCTGTCTCAGATTGCTGAGCTGTATATGGAGTCAGTAATAAGAACATAAGAGAAGCCAATGTTGGATCAGGTCAATGGCCCATCCAGTCCAACACTCTGTCACACAGTGGCCAAAAATACCAGGTGCCATCAGGAGGTCCAGCAGTGGGGCCAGAACTCCAGAAGCCCTCCCCCTGTTGCCCCCCCCCCCAAGCACCAAGAATACAGAGCATCACCTGCCCCACCTGTGAGTTCCTATCTATACCTTGTGGCTAATAGCCACTGATGGACCCCTGCTCCATATGTTTATCCAGTTCCCTCTTGAAGCTGTCCATGCTTGTAGCCGCCGCCGCCACCTGTGGCAGTGAATTCCATGTGTTAATCACTCTTTGGGTGAAGGAGGACTTCCTTTTATCTGTTCTAACCCGACTGCTCAGCAATTTCATGGAGTGCTCACGAGTTCTTGTATTCTGAGAAAGGGAGAAAAGTACTATCCCATGCATCATCTTATAAACCTCAATCATTTCACCCCTCATTTCTCCAAGCTAAAGAGCCCCAAGTGCTTTAACCTTTCTTCATAGGGAAAGTGTAACGGGATATTCCAGAGCTGGGGTCTGAGGGCCAAATTTGGAGCCTGAGGGCCAAATTTGGAGTTCTGACAAAGTGTGGTGAGCGCAGCCTCAAAATGGCTGCTGCAGAAGGCGGGGCCAGCCACAAAATGGCTGCCACGGCCTACCTCTGGTCACACATTGGGGATCCTTGTGCTGTGGTGGCAGCAAGGTTTTTAAAAACCCACCCAGCCAAACAAATCTCTAATGGCCAATCAGAAGCCTTGCTGGACAAAAGCCCCACCCACGTTCTAAAATCACTTGGCGGTCCCCAGGAAAGGTATCGGTGGGTTCCATAGCACCCCCGTGCTATCGACCTCTGTTCCAGAGACCTCGTACCGTTACCCACTATGACAACCAGGGAAGGCCCACAATTTGAACTGGAGAACAGCGACTCCCCCTTTCCTGTTTAGCTGTGTCTTTCCCCCCCAAGGTGCCATTTCTGTTTCCTCCAGGGCAGTCGTAGAAATCAAACCCTAGAGAGGTGTATGTGGGCACGCCTAACCAGAAAAGCAGAAGGGGGCGTGTGCTGGCCATGTACCCTGTCAACCGAACCCTGTCTGTGTAAGCGCCCTTCTTTAAAGAGCACTGTTGCATTCGACGACAAACCGCACGTACCCTCGATTCCTCTTCTAGTAGTCAAGGTCCCACCCCAGCCCTCGCTGCGTGACCGCACATGCGCCAAGTTTATCGCTCGGTGTATCGGAAGTGCACCCTGGTATGCCTAAATAAGCACATATTGAGAAATGTAGCCCAATCACGTTCGCTAGTAGGGTGATCCTCCAAAATGGCTACTCAAAGCATATTGGTAAATGCACAATTACCCCCCTTCCTTCCTTTGCATATTCTTTAAAACTTCAAATGTATTACAGAGGTTGTGATAAATCTTGGGACATAAGCCGTTAAGTACGACAGGGGTTGCTTTTTATTCTGTGTCCACAAAAAAAGGAAAAGGTAATTTGGATCTCCTGTCCCTTTTCAGATGGTTTTGATTTGTTTTCCTACTTTCAGACCGAAAGCACCCCTCCCCCACCTACACCCATTCACCAGATTCCTGTCTCGACCTCCTTTTGATTCCCAGCCCATAGTGTAAAATGCGAGAAGTTAAATACCTTAAAAAAAAAAAAATCGAGCTTCACATCCGTTCCTTTCTACTTCCAGCTGAAAGACTGACAGTGTAGAAGCTCAGTCTTTCAAAAGAAATGAGGGAAAAAAATATTTATCTTGTGCCAAATACAGAGGGGTCCCCTCATCTTTCCCGTCATTCAGGTTTGGGGGAAATCCTAGTTGTTTTTTAAGGACACTTGCTCGAATTTTGTTTTAAGGAAACTTGCTCGAATTTTGAGAAAAGTTGCTCGAATTCTGTTTTAAGGAAACTTGCTCGAATTTTGAGCAAAGTTGCTCGAATTCTGTTTTAAGGAAACTTGCTCGAATTTTGAGGAAACCCCGGTAGTTAAAAATTCGTTTACAAACGTAAATTCTGGGCCCAGACTCACAGGGAACCTCTCCCATCACCGCCATCGGAGGCTCCATGAAGCGGACTCTCGTTCTACGTTTTGTAATACATTATGCCAATCGCAGCCACGAAGCTCTGGGTTATTCAAGAATTCTAGATTATAGGAGAACGCAATGCAGGCATGGCACAGGAGTGGATGGTTGGGGACACCCAGAGGGATATCCAAGGGAGAATGGACAATGAGCCAGTCGCTTCACTGTTGGACCTCTGAAAGCATGGATCAGCTATTCCCTAGCAGCTTCTATATCATAGCTCCATTAAGAACAGAAGAGAAGCCCTGTTGGATCAGGCCAGTGGCCCATCCAGTCCAACCCTCTGTGTCACACAGTGGCCAAAAACACCAGGGGCCATCAGGAGGTCCAGCAGCGGGGCCAGGACAGTAGGAGCCCTCCCACTGTTGCCCCCTCCAAGCACTAAGAAGACAGAGCCTCACTGCCCCATACATAAGAACGTAAAAGCGGCCATGTTGGATCAGGCCAATGGCCCATCCAGTCCTACACTCTGTGTCACACAGCGGTCAAAACCCAGCTGCCTTCGGGAGTTCAACCAGCGGGGGGCACTTGAAGGATGGCAAACCCTTACTCAAAGTCCACAGAACCCTGTGGGAAATCTACTTTTATAGGTGGGTGGGTGGATTTGGGCCTGGCGCTTGACTGGATAAAGCGAGCCCACGGAAAAGACGTCCCTTGTCATTTTCCTCCCAACTTGAAAAGCTCTGCTATGAAGGGAAGGCCTCAATGTGGAAAGGGGAGCTGCCCTGTCTTGTCCCTGTGGATTGGTTGCCAAACAGTCAATGTAATGTCCGATCTGCCAAGCAGGCTCTATTGGAATCAGGACCCCCTGAGGTTAAGGCAGCAATGAGTAAGTCAAGGGGAGGCAGGAGGAGAGGACGTGGCAAACATGGCCACCGGGGGCCGCATGGGAATTTTGGTCCCCGGAGATAACCGTGCCTGTGTGGCATTCGCCCGGCTGCGGAGTGGTCCAGGCGTTCACTGACAATTAAAGGCCTCTGCTCTGGAGCACACGCGACAGGCAGCCTCTCCCCGGGAAACCACCAGCAGTGGTCTGAGCTGTTTCCACGCCGGACGTGAAAAGCCAGCCTCTTTCCGTGAGGGAGAACTCAGTCGGTTTTCAAAGGATGCTCTCAGTGCAAGGTGTGGGGGAGATACATATTTTCCGCCAGCACTGGGAACAGGACGAGTTGCCAGCCAGTTCCAAGTGCTCAAAACGAGATGGACATATAGGCGTGGCCCTCTCCTTCCACTCCCAACGGCCCTCAACCTTTGACCCCTTTAGCACATTTCGGGGGACATTGGCCTGCTGGGAGTCCAGCAGGCCAACCATTTTAACAAACTGTTAAATCGTGGAAGAGAGGTCTACCAACGGCTACTAGCCATGGTGGCTGAGGGGAACCTCCACATTCAGAGGCACTAAACCTCTGAATCCCAGAGCCAGGGGAAGGCCTCGGCCTCTCTGCCCTGCTGTTGGCCCTCCAGAGGAAGGAGGAACTGGTTGGCCACTGTGCGAGACAGGAGGCTGGGCTAGATCGACCACTGGTCTGATCCAGCAGGGCTCTTCTTATGTTCTTATGTCCTTACCAGAGCACTGGATCTCGAGTCCGAGTCCCTGTGGTCCAAGGCCCCGATCTGACCACCTCTGCTCTAGAGGCAGCGATTCGGAGTTGGAAAATGGGGTGTCCTCTGGAATATGCTACATGAGGCGATGGCTTCATGGGAAGCCAGACCCTGCAGGAATACCTCATCGCATAAACAATTTTTGGTGGACAGTTGGACGATACAAGCCAAAACTACCTTAGACATTTTTTTTTAAAGCTAGTGTTAAGTGACGGAGAGTTTTTGTGTAAGGAAGGTTGGGAGGTGAAAAGCAGTGAGGTGATCTGTCCTATGACTATTCAGCAAAGGATCCGCCAAACTGAATACAGCCAGCCACGTACGGTGGCCTGTCACAGGTCCATACAACTTCATGGGTTGATCCCCCCCCCCTTTCCTGCCTGCCTTGGCTGGCAAATAGGGGGAGCTGGGGAGCACCCCCCCCCCATTTATACTTGTCTAGAGGATCACAGATGGTGCATCGCACCACACAGGCCAGCACAGGCATCAGCTAAATGTGCCAGCAGTTCTACAGACAGAGGAATGTGTGAGGAAAGCCCACAGATTTCATGGATATTACAGGTAGCATTCAAATTTTGGGTTACAAGTTCACAGGTAAACATCGGTTCCCTTCCCTGCTGTGCATTAATCCCCCCAAACAATATATATGTGTGTATGTGCATGTATGTATTTATATATATTTAATCGTCATCCCCCCACGGCGTAACAAAAAAATGTGGGAGGTTCTACCCGCCATGACAGTGGGGACCCCCGAGCCCACCATCCATTCGCAACGGCGTTTCCTCAACCCTTCCCTTCTCGCCACTTTTCCCTCGTTTTTGCTATTTAAAAAAAGGTCCCCAGTTTCCAAAACGGGAAAACGGAAAACCCTACTGACCGGCCTCGAACACAACACCCTCTTTCCCGAAAGTGACGCAAGAGGAGAGGGAGAAAGATCGGAGGAGGAGGATCCCCCCCGCAGCAAGCCCCTGGCTTCCGCGCAAGCCGTCCGGCGTCTGCCTACTGGCCCCGGTGGCTCTAACCGAGCGCCCAGCTCCACATCCGGCTGGGTTCACCGCACCGCCTTGTGCTTCCCACCGCAACAGCCACAATGCTCGCCGCACCAGTGACAGGCGTGGAGGGGCAGGTAGCAGCACATGCAAGGGACCACGAGGGACAGGGTGACCAAGGCCATCCAGCGGATGCAGAAGTGGGGGTGGCCGGTGTCACAGGAGCACGGGTCCGAATACTCTCCTTCCGAGTCCGACATGCAGTGGTAGAGCATGCTCTCGGCGCACCACATACAGGTGAACTGGTAGACACAACGGCCGATTGGGTCGGGGGCGTCCTGACACTGCCCGCGCCCGTTTGCCTCGTTGTTGAAGACGTCCTGGCAGTAGACACAGCGCGAGGGCGCCGCGTCTTCCTCCAACCCCACAGCCCCCTGTTGCTGCTGCTGCTGGTCCTTCGAGGATTTGTGTCTGGGGGGCGACGGGGCACCGTGGATGTGGCAGGAGGGGGAGGCCTTGGGGTCCTTGAGACGGCCTTCGGCGCCAGGCGGGAAGCAATACTCTTTCTCCCGCGGGGACTTGCTGCCGCCGCCGCCCCCAGTCTTCTCGAAGTGCACGCACATGTCGATCTTGTCGGGGTCGGGCTGGCGCTTCTGGACCGCGGCCCGCCGGTAGTCCTCGTACCCTTTGGTGACCCACAGATCTTTGCAGGGTGTGAGGCTCTCCAGGTCCTCTTCGTCCGGGAGGGTCAGCTGCTGGAGGACTTGCGGTTGGGCCTGCAAAACGGGGCGGCGGGGGGGGAGGGGCGAAAGCAGAGATGACACGCTCGCTTGTTTGCACGAGCAAAGTAAAACTTGAACCCAGGTCTTCAGAGCCACGGGCTTGAGCTGCTCCGGGCATGTTTAGGCTTCAAAGAGATTGGCTTGATAGCCCTTCCTGTTCTCCGGGGAGCCTTTGGAACAGTAATCCTGTGAGTGGGCTAGGGACCCCCACTTGGGACCCTGCCACTATCCACTGCTCCTACTTGTAAGAACATCAGAAGAGCCCTGCTGGATCAGACCAGTGGGGGTCCATCTAGTCCAGCTTCCTGTCACATGACAGCCAACCAGTTCCTCTGAAGGGCCAACAACAGGGCACGGAGGCCGAGGCCTTCATAAGAACATCAGAAGAGCCCTGCTGGATCAGACCAGTGAGGGTCCATCTAGTCCAGCCTCCTGTCTCACACAGTGACCAACCAGTTCCTCCGGAGGGCCAACCGCAGGGCATAGAGGTCTTCATAAGAGCATCAGAAGAGCCCTGCTGGATCAGACCAGTGAGGGTCCATCTAGTCCAGCCTCCTGTCTCACACAGTGACCAACCAGTTCCTCCGGAGGGCCAACCGCAGGGCATAGAGGTCTTCATAAGAGCATCAGAAGAGCCCTGCTGGATCAGACCAGTGAGGGTCCATCTAGTCCAGCCTCCTGTCTCACACAGTGACCAACCAGTTCCTCCGGAGGGCCAACCGCAGGGCATAGAGGTCTTCATAAGAGCATCAGAAGAGCCCTGCTGGATCAGACCAGTGAGGGTCCATCTAGTCCAGCCTCCTGTCTCACACAGTGACCAACCAGTTCCTCCGGAGGGCCAACCGCAGGGCATAGAGGTCTTCATAAGAGCATCAGAAGAGCCCTGCTGGATCAGACCAGTGAGGGTCCATCTAGTCCAGCCTCCTGTCTCACACAGTGACCAACCAGTTCCTCCGGAGGGCCAACCGCAGGGCATAGAGGTCTTCATAAGAGCATCATAAGAGCCCTGCTGGATCAGACCAGTGAGGGTCCATCCAGTCCAGCATCCTGTCTCACACAGTGGCCAACCAGTTCCTCTGGAGAGCCAACCACAGGGCAGAGAGGCCGAGGCCTTCCCCGCTGTTGCCTCCTGGCACTGGGATTCAGAGGCTGACTGCCTTTCAAGCTGGAGGTTCCCTCACTCACCATGGCTAGCAGCCACTGATAGACCTCTCCACCATGAATCTATCTCCTCCAAAATAGTCAACCTCCATGTTTCTCACAATGCAGCATTATTGATAACAACCTACTTGCATGAACCAGCCCCAGTGAGAGCCATGCTTTACGCGCACGGACCTAGCCACCTTCTCTTTCAACCATAAGCGGAGAACATCGGCTCGCCTGGAGGAAGTTTCAACTCGCCACAGGCGACTGTCTACATTGCAAGCCTGGCGCAAAGCTGCCAGTCTTGCGGAAGACCCCTCAACGTACGTGGGAGGAGGGGGACTGCCAAGCGCAGGCATGTACCTGTCCCGCAGACACCGCCCCTTGCGCCGCGCCAAAGGAGAACTCTTCCGAGACAGGCGAACGGAGGTAGCAGCTGGACGAAGACTCGCTGGTCACGATGGTGATGGGCTTGGGGAGCATTTCCTTCCGACTGTTAGAGGAAGACTCGCTGTCCGTGTGCACCTAGAGAAAGAGAGCGAGGGGAGAAAAGTCATACAGAGATGGCATTACCCAGAAGGTACCCACTTAGCCTTGGCCCTGGATGGCTCCCTTATCCGGCCCCCCGCAGCACAGTGGCCCCTAGTGACTCGGAGGTGGCAGAATGAAGACTGCCACTGCAACACATGTGTGCCGCAGTTGTGGCTCTAGTCAGATTCTGTGACCGAACTTTCAGTTCTGTGGCCATTCACACAACCTTTCGTGCAGGAATGGCAGACTTTGAACTGTTTGGTCATGTGAGAGTGCATCTGATTAGGAGCCCCCCAAGGCTGGAATTTGAGGCAACCCCCAGCCTCGGAAAGTCAACCCAGACTCTTCCCTGAAATTTTCATGTTGCACTGACATCACCATTTCGATCCTGTATATATACTGGATAAACATACAGAGCAAAGGACCACCAGTGGCTTATTAGCCACAAGGTATAGAGGGACCACTCTGTCTGGGGCAAGGGATGCTCTGTCTTCTTGGTGCTTGGGGAGGCGGCAACTGTGGGAGGGCTTCTGGAGCTCTGGACCTGGTGGTGGACCTCCTGAATGGCACCTGGGCTTGGGCCGCCGTGTGACAAAGAGTGTTGGACTGGACGGGCCACTGGCCTGGTCCAATATGGCTTCACATATGTCCTTATGTCTGGGGCAGTGATGCTCTGTCTTCTTGGGGCTTGGGGGTCCACAGTGGGAGGGTTTCTGGAGTTCTGGCCCCACTGGTGGACCTCCTGATGGCCCCTGGGTTTTGGGCACTGTGTGACAAAGAGTGTTGGACTGGATGGGCCACTGGCCTGGTCCAACAGGGCTTCACATATGTTCTTATGTCTGGGGCAGTGATGCTCTGTCTTCTTGGTACTTGGGGGTCCACAGTGGGAGGGCTTCTGGAGTTCTGGCCCCACTGGTGGACCTCCTGATGGCACCTGGGTTTTGGCCACTGTGTGACACAGAGTGTTGGACTGGATGGGGCCACTGGCCTGGTCCAACAGGGCTTCTCTTCTGTTCTTATATTAGCAACTAGGACAGATAGAAGCTTTTTTTTTTTTTTTAAGCCAGGATTTCCCTGCATTTCTGCCGGATTTTGTTTCAAGCAGAGGGGGGAGGCACTAAGCATGCACCGAAGGAGTCCGAAGTGTCAGGAAATGGCCACCTTGGACTTACTGCAAGAGCTTCATCCGTCCCGTTGGCGTCATCCTGCGAGGAGGAGGAAGAGGAAGGCGAGAGGGAACCTAAGAGAACAGCAGGAGAAATCAGATTACGACGACGATTTAACGAAGACAAATACCTGCACAGAAAAATCCATGTACCCCATTTTTATCCTGCGGTTCCTCTAAGGAGCACAGGGTGGCGTCTTGTGTTCCTCTCCGCCTCCATGTTTTCCTTACAACAATCCTGCAAGGTAGGCTAGGTGGAGAGAGAACAAGACACGGGGGAGCTCAGTGAGTTTCACAGTCGCGGGGGGTCATAGTACACTTTCCGCCGCACTGTGCTGACCCTCTAGTGGAACTTGCGCAGGGCTCCAGATCGGCAGAACCAGCCACATGCCTGTCTAAACTTAGAGCGACTCCAGAGGCTCTGAAACACTGCAAAGGATTCTGGGATGTATCCTGGGCATGCTTCCAGCAACCGTGGGCCACTGGCCAGGCATAGCAGGAACACTAGTCGTGATAATAGTAATAACAGTAAATTCAGTAAACCGTTAACACATTCCTTTTCATCAAAATGCCAATGCCAATGTAACACTTTAGAGTGTGTATATGTTAATCATCTCAGGGAATAAATGGTTGTGTTGGAGACCTGTGACTGGATCTCTATTGTATTCTGTCATGGCCGCCCCACACGGTAGCCGTGTCGGTCCACAGTTGAACAGCTCAAATTGAGTCTAGGAGCACCTCGGAGACCAAGAAGAAAAGGAGAGGAGATTCGGGTGTCTACCCCGCCCATCACTACCCGAAGGAGTCTCAGAGCGGCTTACCATCTCCTTTCCCTTCCCCATGACAGACACCCTTGTGAGGTTAGGTGGGGCTGAGAGAGCTCTGAGAGAACTGCCCCCCCCCATATTGTTGGTCTCTAAGGAGCTACTTGAATCTAGGTGTTCTGTTACAGGCCAACATTCTCTTCACGCTTCTAGAAATTGTTTTATTTAATACATTTCTTGACCACAATCTCAGCCCTAAGATCCCCTCCCCCCAAAATGGTTCCTAGGATATTCATCATAGTAACAGAGACAGTACAGTAATATGTAGGATGTTTTTTCTCTCTCTCTCTGGGCACAGAGCATGTGAGGGTGGGGAATCCATGCACGGAAAATGGCAAATGGGTGAGAGTAAAATCTCCCGTTTGTTCCGTGCCACGGCCCCGACGCGATTCGTTCCCCTTCCCTCCCGGCAAGACGGGAGACACGGTCATCGGTCTCCGATGTCTCCTCTTGTTTCAGTAATCCGTACAACAACCTTATAGGGTAGGTCACTAGCTGGGGTCATTTCCTGCGGGAGCGCACAGGAGTGGAGCTCTGGTAGTAAGGAGCCCAGGGGGCGGGCACATGCAACAAGCCCCGCCCCCTGCTCCCAGCAGCCATCAGTCGGGCAACGAGGAGCAAGAAGCAACCAGGTAAGTTGCAGAGACCCTCTCCCACCTTCAGGTACAAGCTCTCCCTCCTCTGTGAGGGCAGATCTGCGCGTCCCCCCCCCCCAGTAGCCAGCAATCCAAAAGAGTCCAGTGGAGCCTGAGCGGTGGGTGTTGCCTTCTGACACACTTCCGGTGATGTCAGGGGATGTGGCATATCATGCAAACAAGTTATGCTAATAAGTTATACTAATGAGCTCCTGCACCTCTTTTTCTACGAAATGACCCCTGGTCACTAGTATTACCACAAGCAGGCCAAAGAGTCCCTTTCCTTAAGGCCACCTGTTAAGTCTGTCGCTGAGGAGGGATTTAAATGGGGTGGCAAGTCTCCTGAGCTCCTCACCTTCTGCGATCTCCTCCAGGGCGGCTTGCACCCCCTTTTCGAAGGCCACGGCATCGGCGGGGCTTTGGAAAGTGAGGCCAAACTTGCTGTCCCCCACTTTCCAGTGGTGGAAAATGGGGTTCACCTTGTTGTAGACGAGGTCCCTCTTCAGCGTGCACTCCAAGATGGTCTGCAGGAGGCAAGGGAGAAGGATAAAGGATCGGCGGGGCTGCCGTGGTCCAAAGCTTTGGCGGAGGCCGCCCAAATACGGTTTAATTAATTAATTAGATCAATAAACCGCTCCCCCCCCCGGAGGGCTCAGCAACCTTGGGACCAGTGTGCCCTCTAAGCTGAGTTATTGTGAGCTAGCTCACAGTTTTTTAGCCTCCAGCTCATACATTTTTGTCTCAGCTCGGGAAGGAGGGCTCCAGAGCAAACTAATTGATGCAGTAGCCAAATCACTTGCTCACAACTTTAATGCCAGTTGCTCACAAAGTAGAACGTTTGCTCACAAGATTCCACAGCTTAGAGGGAACATTGCTTGGGACTGGGAAATTCCTTTTTAATTTTATAAATTTTATTTAAAATTTTTAAGGGGATACAGGAAGAAAAAAAAGGAACAGGGGGAAAAGCATAGGGAATATAATTACCAAGACATGATGTAAGGGCAATTTGACAGATAATTGAGGACATTCCTTTATCAGAATACATGTGCATATTAAAAAAGTATATGGCATAATAGTTTTACAAGTATATAACATGATATATATGGTGTAGAGGCATAAGAATATAGCTTTATACACACACACACACACACATATACATACAGGGGTCATTTCCTGCGGGAGTGCACAGGAGCGGAGCTCCGGCAGTAAAGAGCCCAGGGGACAGGCACATGCAACAAGCCCTGCCCCCTGCTCCCTCAGTCAGGCCACAAGGAGCAAGAAGCCGCCAGGTAAGTTGCAGAGCCCCTCAGATACCAAGAAGAAAAGCAGAGGAGATTCGGGTGTCTACCCTGCCTGCCTTCACGTACAAGCTCTCCCTCCTCTGTGAGGGGAGTTCTGCGTGTGTCCCCCCCCCCATAGCCAGCATTCCAAAACAGTCCAGTGGCACCCTTAAGACCAAGTTTTATTCAGGTACAAGCTCTCCCTCCTCTGCGAGGACAGATCTGCACGTTCCCCCCCCAAAAAATCTAGCAATCCAAAACAGTTGTGGAGCCTGAGCGGTGGGTGTTGCCTTCTGACACACTTCCGGTGATGTCAACTTGATCCTCTTGTTGTTGCTTGTTCAATGCTTCTGATGTTTATTGTTGTAAATGATTGTTTAAAAACGAATAAAAATATATATATATATAAAAATAAAAAATAAGCATATGCAAATACGTTATGCTAATGAGGTCCTGCACTTCTTTTTTTATGAAATGACCCCTGTGTGTGTGTGTATATATATATATACACACACACACACACACATATATACACACAGACACATACACACACACACACACACATATATATATACACGACCTAGTAACTTAAAAGATTGGTATAACAAGCTATTCGATATAGTCTACCATTTCCCGATTATATTATTATCATTTTATCTTATCGATCTTATCTATTATATGGTATAGCATAAATAATCTCACAGAAATGTTTCTAAAATTTTCACACAAGGGCTTGGGAAATTCCTGAAGATCTGGGGGTGAAGATTGGGAGGGTGGAGTTTAGAGATGGGAGGGAGCTCAGTGGGGAATCTGATGTCACTCTAGGAATTCCATTTCTCCTAGACTCTATGGTATACCATAGAGCCCACCTTCCGAAACTGTACTTTGCTTCTGGAGAATGCATCTCTGTAGTCTAGGGATAAGTTGCAATCCCAGGATAACTCCACACCCTACCTGGAGGCTGGTAACTCTGCTGTTTAGTACTGTTACACCAGGTGACAGATAAAAAGGGGCAGGGTTGCCAACTCCAGCTCGGCAAATTCCTGGAGATTTAGGGGTAGTGACTAGGGAGGACAGCGTTTGGAGTGGGAAGGGGGCTCAGGGGGGGGATGTACTTCCACAGAGTTTGCCCCCCCCCCGAGAGTGCCAGTTCCTCCAGGGGAACGGATCTGTGGAATCAGGAGACCAGTTATAATTCCAGGAGAACTCCAGGCGACACCAGGAGGCTGGCAACCCTAGGTGGAGAAGGGATGCTCCACCCCTAAGTGCCGAAAGCCCTGGCCCTGTAATCGAAAGCTGCACCACCCAGAAGAAGAAGAAGAGATGGGATTTATACCCCGCCCTTCACTACCCGAAGGCGTCTCAGAGCGGCTTACAGTCTCCTTCCCCTTCCCCTCCCCACAACAGACACCCTGTGAGGCAGGTGGGGCTGAGAGAGCTCTTTCAAGGACTGCCCTCGAGAGAACAGCTCTGAGAGAACTTGTGACTGACCCAAGGTCACGCCAGCAGCTGCATGGGGAGGAGTGGGGAACCAAACCTGGTTCTCCCAGATTAGAGTCCGCACACTTAACCACTACACCAAACTGGCTCTCAAACTGGCGCCCCACATAGTTGCCCTCACTGCTCCTTCTCACTAGCACCATCACTTGCGGGGAAGACATTTTTAAAAATTTATTTATTTCACTCAGAACTGTTTATTGGTCTCCTTTTTTCCCATATGGAGCTCAAGGTGACCTACCCTATAGATAAAAGGTGTACAATAAAACACATAAGGGCCCTAAAAACCCAAAATTTAAAACCGCAACTCGGGACTGCTAGTAAACGTACCTCAAAAGGAGGTCCTAAATAAAACTGTCTTCAGCCACCTCAGAATGATGGAAAGAGGGGGGGGGCAGGCGCAGCTCTCTGGGGAGGTTGTTCCATGATCACGAGGCCACCACTGAGAAGGCGCCGTCGCGTGTGCCCACCAACTGAGCCACATCGATCAGTGAGACGGAGCCACGCTTGTTTTACCCAACGGTGGCTCTCGACACGGGTGAACAGCATCCCCCCTCCCTCCCCGCCAGGCCTCCCACCTCCACCAACCTCACCGTCTGGTCCCGCAGGCGCTCCCCGCTGATGAGGTACTGCCGGTGCCGCCCTTCTTCCGGCCGCCGGACCTTGCAGATCATCACGTGGCTCAGGCCGCCGCCGCCCATGGGCACCCAACCCCCGCTCGAGTCATCTCGGATCATCACCACAGCCCGCACCCGAACCATGTAACTGGGTGGAAAGAGAGGAGACAGGTGGTCAGGGAAACGGGCTGCCAACTCCGGGGTGGGAAATTCCTGGAGACCAGGGGTCCCTTCCTGCAGGAGCGCACAGGAGCAGAGCTCCGGCAGTAAAGAGACCAGGGGGCGGGCACATGCAACAAGCCCCGCCCCCTGCTCCCAGCAGCCAGGTAAGTTGCAGAGCTCTCCGCGGTCCAAAACAGTCCAGTGGCGCCTTTAAGTCCAGGTTTTATTCAGGTACAAGCTCTCCCTCCTCTGCGAGGGCAGATCTGCATGTCTCCCCCCCCCAATAGCTAGCAATCCAAAACAATCCAGTGGCACCTTTAAGACCAGGTTTTATTCAGGTACAAGCTCTCCCACCTCTGCGAGGGCAGATCTGCATGTCTCCCCCCCCCAATAGCTAGCAATCCAAAACAATCCAGTGGCACCTTTAAGACCAGGTTTTATTCAGGTACAAGCTCTCCTCTGTGAGGGCAGATCTGCACGTTCCCCCCCCCCCAATAGCTAGTAATCCAAAAGAGTCCAGCGGAGCCTGAGCTCCTGCAGGAGACGACCCCAGGTGATGCCTCAAGAGGGCAGGGTTTCGGGAGGGAGGGACCTCAGCAGGGTACAATAGCACAGAGTCCGACCCTCCAAAGCAGCCATTTTCTCCAGGGGAACTGACCTCTGCAGTCTGGGAACCACTCGCAATTCCAGGAGGTCTCCAGGCCTCACCTGGAAGCTACAAACGCACAGGGAACACGGCAAAGTTAGACAACCATAAATGAGAAACACGGCGATAGAACAAAACACACTTCTACTAATATGTACTTGTATCTTCATATATCGATTTACTTGCAATAAGGGCTCTAGTATATCTCTTATACGCATACAAAAGGCCTTCATCATTTATGACTCTTGCAACTTTCATCAGTCCTCTATCAGGAGGAAGATAGTCCACAGCGTTGGAATAGGTCTTTGTAGCTGTGGGCTTTTCTATTAGTAGATACAATGTACTTTAGGTTCTTGTATGTGTATAAGATATACTAGAAGAAGAAGAGAAGAGGAGATTGGATTTATACCTCGCCCTTCACTACCCAAAGGAGTCTCAGGGCGACCAGTTATCATTCCAGGAGAACTCCAGGCGACACCCCTAAGTGCCCAAAGCCCTGGCCCTGTAATCGAAAGCTGCACCACCCAGAAGAAGAAGATTGGATTTATACCCCGCCCTTCACTACCCGAAGGAGTCTCAGAGCGGCTTACAAACTCCTTTCCCTTCCCCTCCCCACAACAGACACCCTGTGAGGTGAGTGGGGCTGAGAGAACTCTGACACAAACTGCTCTTTCAGGAACAGCTGTGCCAGAGCTTGTGACTGACCCAAGGTCACATCAGCAGGTGCAAGTGGAGGAGTGGGGAATCAAACCCGGTTCTCCCAGATTAGCGTCCGTGCACTTAACCACGACACCAAACAGACACCCTGTGAGGTAGGTGGGGCTGAGAGAAACTGCTCTTTTTCAAGAACAGCTGTGCCAGAGTTATGGCTTGCCCAAGGTCATCCAGCCAGGTGCAAGTGGAGGAGTGGGGAATCAAACCCGGTTCTCCCAGATTAGAGTCCGCGCACTTAACCACTACACCAAGCTAGCTTTATTGCAAGTAAATCAATATGTGGAGATACAAGTACATATTAGTAGAAGTGTGTTTTGTTCTATCGCGGTGTTTCTTTATGGTTGTCTCACCTGGAAGCTGGCAACCCAGGGTGACTTTTTAAACATTTTAATGCACACCTTAATGGACTAACCCTGTGTGACTTGGTCAAATTCTGCCGTGCTAGCCCCCATACGGATAGCAAAATCCATTCCGTGGGGATGGCGATAACTTTGCAAAAGAAAAGGGGGGGGGACCCTATCTGAACGAAAAACAGCAGCAAGTCCTGTCCCCCCGCCATCTCCACTCTCTCTCTCTAGTCCAAATGCCCGGACCCATCCGCCTGGGCGGCCAAATTCTGAGCAAACACGGCTCTAATCTGATTCTTACAGGAAGCAGATGCTTTGCAATACCTTGTGCGCAAAAGTTAATCATTAAACTGCGGTGTGGGGGCTGGGGGGCTGGAGAGGAGGCGAGCCCAAGGCTGTGGGTTTCGATCTTGCGCGAGCGGCCATCAGAGGCCTGCACAAGCAACCCTCCCAGCAGAGCTCCAGAGCAGTGTTCCCTCTAAGCAGAGCCAGTGTGAGCTAGATCACAGTTTTTTAGCCTCCGGCTCACACATTTTCGTCTCCGCTCGAGAAGGAGGGCTCCAGAGCAAACTAACTGATGCAGCAGCGAGATCGCTCGCTCGCAGCTTTAATGCCAGTTGCTCACAAAGTAGGATTTTTGCTCATAAGACTCCACGGCTTAGAGGGAGCGTTGCTGGAGGCAGTGTTCCCTCTAAGCTGAGTTAGTGTGCGCTAGCTCACAGTTTTGTAGCCTCCGGCTCACGCACTTTTGTCTTAGCTCAGGAAGGAGGGCTCCAGAGCAAACTAATTTATGCAGTAGCCAAATCGCTTGCTCACAGTTTTAATGCCAGTCGCTCACAAAGCAGAATTTTTGCTCACAAGACTCCATAGCTTAGAGGGAGCATTGGTGGAGGGAACCTCAATATCAGTCAGAGAACAAAAAAACCAAAACAAACGAAAAGCAAAGAGCGGCGTGAGTGTGCTGAACAATTCGTGTGCACGTGAAGAATTGCGGTTGGTCCCGACAAGCCGCCCAAAGATGGTTCAAGGAAAATGGCCAAAGGATACTAATCCCGCCTCCCCCCACACACACACACACAGTTCCTTCAAGGGCTGACTGCGGGATGGCCAATATTTAAGCCCACCGTCCTCCGGCTGGTGAGTTTTGTTTTGTTTCAAACGAATTCTTTTGAATTTGTTTTTTTAATTTAAAATTTTTCTTTTTATTTATGTCAAAGATCAACACATTATTAAATCAAACGTGTGAACAATATCAACAAGTCATATTTCGAACAAACATCATCAAAAATGATGGAAAATGCAATCCATTCAAGTAAAAATGAGATGCAAACAATCTATGATGACAACACATAGAATATATCTAGTAAAAGACTGAGATCTGGTATTTAATTATCTCTCAGTGCAATTCAAAACATTAAACAATATCACCCTCTGATGACATCTTTGCGACTCTGCAAACTTGTTTTGTGTTCTATAGAGGAAAAGTGAATAAAACTCTATTACCAGGAAGGGAGTCCACCAGGAGCGCCTACACCCACCTCCGAAATTACTGCCAGGTAGAAGGTAAGAAGTCCTCCGAAACCTAGTAATCTAAGATAGGACCCCATTTGAATTTTTGTTTTTGACACCGCTGATGGTGTGGCCGCACAGCGCCGGTGCTAGTCAGAAGCACGGTCCCTGGCCGCCCCATCGAGTTTCCCCACCAGGCCGCAGGCTCTCTCCTCCTTTCTCAGCACAAGCCAAGGAGCGAGATGTGCCTCTGCCGTTGCACAGAGAAAGGGGAAGGGTCTGTAATTGTGGTGTCCAATGTTCCCTCTAAGCTGTGAAGTCTTGTGAGCAAAAATTCTACTTTGTGAGCTACTGGCACTAAAGTTGTGAGCGAACAATTTGGCTATTGCATAAATTAGTTTGCTCTGGAGCCATCTTTCTTGAGCTAAGACAAAAATCTGTGAGCTGGAGGCTAAAAAACTGTGAGCTAGCTCACACTAACTCAACTTAGAGGGAACACTGGTGGTGTCCAGGGTGAACCACGCTTGCGGCCTAAAGAGGAGGGCGGCGGCACTCTCCGGGTGCATTCAGACGTGCCGTTTGATCTGGTGTCGTGACAGTTCAGCAACGGATTTTATCTGCACGATCACACAGTCGACGTCTGCCTCCCATCCCCAGCCGTTTGTTTTCGGCTCAAAACCACTTTGACCCGGAGTATTTTGTTACAGGTCCCGAAGTGGTGTTTTCTCAGCTCTGTCGTTTAAAGCCGCATTTCCCCCCTGTGTGATCGCTCCTTCGGTGTCGAGCCACTTCCGGTTGAAACCCCCTCCCCGCTCGGAAGCTGCCCGAGGCTTCCGCTTTTCGCCCACCATTTTTTTTTAGCGTCGGCGGTGCGCGCAGGGGCGGCGCTCCGCCACCACGTTTAGAAAAATGACATTTAAACAGTCACTTGTTTTAGCGTTTAGATGAGTTCGGGATCTCACGGAGGCCATTTTCGGGTCAAACGTTTAAAGGGAAGTCTTTTGTTGGAGGGGTCGGATCGATTCGCCCCGGTGGTTCTGCGAATGCGCCATGGCAGTTTCGCGCCCCCATTCTATGGAGGGGCGCCTATGCGCATGCGCAAACTGAGGAAAAAATTTTTAAACCCCGCCGACGCACGCTCCCACACGTCGGTAGTGTAGACGCCGGGGAGCAACATGACGGCGTGGTGAGGCGGGATAAGGGAGGTAAGTGTGATTGCGATTATCCAGATCAGATATCATCCGGTCAGAACCGGAGCAGTTTATCCCGCTCCCAGCACACCGTCTGACCGCACCCTCCCTGTGGTTTCCTTGCTCCCATCGCAGCCGCTCTGTCGGTCTGGCTGGCCGCCTCCTCCCCCTCTGTTGCTCTGCTGGGGTTGCCAAATCCGGGTTGGGAGACGCCTGGAGCTTTGGGGATGGAGCCTGGGGAGGGCAGGGGCCTCAGTCCACCCCCAGGGTATCCGTTTTCTCCTGGGGGACTGATCTCTGTCATCTGGAGATGAGCTGTAATTCGGGGGGGATCGCCAGGTCCCTCCTGGAGGCTGGAATCCCTCGCTCGAACTCCACAGGCAAGGCCGCATGGCATGGAGGCTACGGTGGTTACATTCGAGAAGCAGCCACCGACAAACGGTCCCACAATTACTTACGAGGGCTTGCGTGCCTTCTGCTTCATATGCCTCACACCCCAAGATATGCCTCGTTCCAGAGTGTTCTAAATGGCTGGAAACTGAAAGTCACCTCATAATTCAGAAGAAGAAGAGATTG